GACCAAAGAGCCACAGGTTAGCATCTGAGCTCCAGCTGTTTCTCTGCTGCTGCGCCTCAGAGGCCGCCTCATGCAGGGAGGAATGGTTAGAAATGGAGCTGCCTTATCAGGTTTGAGGAAGGAATCAGAAAACTCACATTTTTAAAGTCCTTATCTACTCTGGAGGGGCTCTAACTGTCAGGATTACACAATCTACCTTAGAAATGAGTCACATGTGGAGCTGTGGTAGATCCACCCTCACTTCCTCAGAATTTCCTGCTTAGGAACCAGACCTGCTGACTTCTTAACTTGTTCTAGAAGTTAGTCCTTCAGGTTCTAACAGGCTGTGGCAGAGAAACACGCTGTGCTTCAACTCCTGCAGCTTCTTCCTATAAACTATCCAGGGCTTATGGTGGGATTCCAGTTTGATGGAGACAGAAAAGAAACATTTCCTCACATTCCTAGTTACTATCGCTGACAAACATCTTCTGTCTTTCAGTTGCCATGTCAACGATAGGAGATAAAATCCTGGACACAGCTCTATCCAAGGTAAGGTCTTTGTTTGACACATCAGGGGCGAGCTACCAGGCAGGCGGAGCCTCTGCTGGTCCGTCACAATTAAAATAGATTTAGAAAGCTTTGATTTTCTATTAATTTTCCTAAAAGATAAAAACAAGCAACAAATATGCCTCTTACCCCTAAATCCCACATCCTGTGTGACCGACCCGGTCCGTTCCAGACCGCCTGTGCAAAGCAAAGCCTACAGCCTCCGCTGTGTCTCCCATCCTGCGCCGCTCCGACTTCCTCAGAGCTGGAGAAGAGCATTCGCCATATTTTCATTGAATTCATGGGAGCAAAACGTGGAAAAAACGCTTAATTTAATGACATATTTAAAAAAATCCCCATCAGCATCCTGCATAGTGCAGTTTCTGCCCAATTATTTTCTTTTTGTTGTGGTTTTTTGAAACGTTGATAACTAGGATCATACATGGTTTATATGAACTATGTTTGTTTTACCTTCAAACTTCGGCTTTTTTTCTTCCTTGCTTGCATTAGGAGGGTTTTAGTTCTTTTTTTTCTTAAATTAAGTGCATTTTTGGAATGAGACAATTTACATTTAAAATAAGAAACAACAATTTTATTGTTGCATTTCAGGAGCATATTATCTAATTATCTTATTTTAAGGGTAAAACTACTCATTCCATTGGCAAATCATCTTATTTACCTGCTCAAATTAAGGATAAAAACACTAAATGTAAGAATTTTTTAACTTATTTCTAGATTGTTTTTGCAGTGTTTTTAAAAGTTGTTTTGACTGGATTTGATTAAACTTTTAAGCCTCTCAGTATAAAATAAATATTTTGATCAAGATGAGAATTCTGTTTCCTGGTATGTTGAGGTACCAGTAGTTTGCATCCAATCATGGAATTAAACGGTCTTAGTTTTTGGGAAGAATTATGCTCTAATCTATAGTTACCGATCGGTTGTTACTATATTTTAATTTGACAAACCGGATCTTCTTGGCGTTCTGTTTGCTGCTTGGTGCGATTGCAACTGTGGATCCGAGCTCGGATCCGTATTTTGATGGTAACGGATGGAGGGGTAGCGGCGGATGTGGAACAGTTCTCATTGATCAACATGGCAGACAAGTATCTGCACGACCAGAGATGGGAAGTAACGAAGTACAAATACTTCGTTACTGTACTCAAGTAGATTTTTCTGATATTTTTACTTTACTACCGTATTTTCACGACTATAAGGCGCACTTAAACGTCTTTTTTTTCCCTCAAAATGTGCGGTGCACCCTATGGTGCGGTGCGCCCTATGTGTGTTGTAACTGCGACTTTTGAGACCACCTCATTGAGGAGATGATGAAAGAGTGGCTGAATGTAAGGAGACCAG